AGGCATCTTTCGCCATCCCAGCGTGGCTTTGGATTTCAGTGTCGCCCTTTCCATCCTCTGTTAGATATTTTCCAGATATTTAAATTGTTGTATTTGCTTGATATTGGTGCCTCCAAACTTTAATTTACGCGTTGGACTGTTCCTTTATCTAAGACACATGCATTCCGTCTTTTTGCAATTGATGTTTCGCTGTTACTTCTTACTTTCCTTCACTAAATTCCGTACGAGTTCTCGTTTCTCATCTGCATATCTTATGATGGCGTTAAGATGTTGTTAAGTTTCTGACGTCCATTAATGAATCCGAGCAGGACGTCTAATTCACTCAGAATTGCCTCACAGTATAGATTGAATGTGTCCACTGAGAAGACCCATACTTGTCTTACGCTCCTTTCTCTTTTTTTTATATTTGTTGCGGATTTGAATCAACGCACAACAAAGAAAAAAGTAATAAAGTTTTTTTCTTAAATATTAACATATAAAATATTTTATTTCCCTGCTTTACAACTAAGTTTTTCTAAAATCTATGACAACGTTCTTAACAGTCATTGTTTATAGCTGTTGGTTAAGATAATAAGAAATTTGACCTCTCTGCGTGCACGTGTGCACGCAAAGAGGTCAAATGTGGCAAGAGAGAAAGTGAGGAGGAAAAGGTGTCACGTAGCTTGGTGAGAAAAAGTGTAAGTGTCACGTAGCTCAGTGAGGAAAAGTGTAAGTGTCACGTTTCTAGGTGATAGAGAATGAATCAGGGAATCTACGTTAAGGCACGGTGTCGTGATCTGATGTCGCATATTGCCGCTCTTTCTCCTTACCGCTGTTATTCATCTAGGGTCTTTGGGAAAATATTCTCCAAAGAGATCACGCAGCAAGTTTTTTTTTTCTTGTCGGTTGTTACGTGACCCGTTGGTTAAAAATTGTTAATGCTCGGGCATATATTCCTTATAGACCACGTAAAAAATGGATACCCTCTGACATAAGCCAGGTAAGGCCAATACAGATGCAGAAAAAGGTTTATTGTGTTTTATAGATTACGCAAAAGTGTTTGATAAATTACGTGACAAAGAATTGTTGGAATGCTAGGCAACTTTCGCATATTTTAGAAAAATATAAAATTATCTAGACCCTATACTGGCAGTAAACCGCCTGCGTACGGAAAGAAAATGAATTCAGTAAATATGTGGAAGAAAGACGGAAATAAACACCAATTCAGTCAATCACCAATATTTATTTATTGGGGTCACACGTTTACAGTTACTTAAGTGAAAAGTTAGACTTAACGGGGTATAAACTTGCGGTGAATAGATGCACTGAACACGGCAAGCGTCACTTACCCCTGTGAAAAAATCTCACTTCTGTTATTTCCCTCCAGATCGTCAAAAGAGAATTAGGTTTGACCTGGATGCAGTTTCTGTAGCCGGATTGGAAATAATGTAAGCTCACACCTTCATTCATTTCGAAGGCCTGGGAAAGATGTGTGATGCAGACGATTATATAAATATCCACCCCCATATAGAGTAAAAAGTCTTTCATACTTCAAAGAGGAAGAATGTACGGTTCATGTTTCGGGCGCATACCGAGTACATACCAAGGACCGGCTGCCAGGGAGTTTCCTTGAATGTTTCCTCGGCGGATATTCAGGCGGATATTCAGGCGGTTGGAGATGGCAGTGCCTCTGGTGTGATTTAGGTATAATGTGGCATTCCACATCCCCATGTTTTGTTTAAGGAAATTGTCTATCACGAAAGAAATGTTGTACATTTCCAAAGTCTTAAGGAGTCAAGAGTGTGGCATACTATCAAAAGCTTTACGGTAATCTATCCATGTTGTGCTACCATTTCTACATCGTCTCCTGCAATCCTCCAAGATCATTTTTATCAGTATTTGATCTTTGCAATCATATGAACCTCTCCTTCATCCCTTCTGTACCAGAGTTGTTTGCGTCGAGGAAAGTGTAAGTACGGTTCGTCAAGCCGGATGTGTTCAATTTATACGTGGTGAACAGACATGTTATTGGTCTATAATTATTCGGATCATCTGTTTCACACGTTTTTGGCATGAAATATGTGATATCTTCAGTGATCCATTCCGGGATTTCATTAGGATTATTAATAAGCATTGATAGATATTGGTCGAGGGTTTTATGGATTGATGACAGATGATAGTGTCAGAAATTGGGCACTTTGTCATTTTCTGGGGATTTCTATTTTGGGGACTCCGTTAGAGCCGGCCTAATATTATTCGTGGATATATTTTCCCATTCTTGTAGAGGTTTACCCTGCATTCGTTCTTTTTCTCGTTGAATCAATTCTGCATGATGGTTATATTCCTCTGAGCTGCTCCAAATATTCTCCCAAAATCTCTGCATTTTTTCAATATATGGTGGGCTTTTTTGACATGTATAACTGCTTTTCCAATTCCCCTTTAAATATTTTTTATGTTCCCTTTGGAATATTTTATTTTGCCGATAGAACCTACAACGTTTGTTGTGTCGTCTTGTTCTCTGTGTCTTTAAATGCATTTTCTGTTTCAGGATTTCCTTGACTGATGGAATTTCATTTTATATTTCCGCTTGATTTTCAAGCGTTAGAGTGTTGACACATTTGGGTTTCTAGTGACCTCATCTAATATCAAAATCTCACATCTGATTTCCTTTATTTCTCGCGCCAGTTTTGCCTTCCAAACTGGCTCGCTTTGTCTGTTTAATCTTTTCATTGTCTTGACCCCCAAGCTTCCCAGTAGCCGCTAAAGCTTTTGCGTATATGACATTGTTACTTTCTGTGGTGTTTCCCGGTGGTTTATCCGTTAACAGTGTTTCCAGTGTAGTGTTGTATGCTTATTGGACTTTGTCATATGAATTTTGTGGAACTGGTCATTCTCTGACATTTGTGTGAGAGTTACTCAGCTTGAGTACTTGGATGATGTGGTTTTTCGCTTCGGGGATTTCACCTCTGTTGTTTTCAAAGAATTCTATCCTAATGCAGTTGGACTCATCTTCAATGACATTGTCTGGATAACTGCAGGTTATGTTGCAGATAGATTCTTCGGTTTTATTTCTTGGGAGATTATTATTTCGTATCTCATTTATTTTAGATTTTACCTCACCTTTGTTATATTATTTAGTTTTACTTTTTAAGTGATGGGTTCTTATATTCTGTCTTATATCTAGTTTTATCTTCTTTGTCTTCTTTTTTCTTTTTCTTCTTCTTCTTCTTCTTCTTTTTCTTCTTCTTCTTCTTCTTTTTCTTTTCTTCTTCTTCTTCTTCTTCTTCTTCTTCTTATTATTATTATTATTATTATTATTATTTCCTTTGATTTCTGGTGTGTACACATTTCTTTCCGGTTCCAGCCCAGAGACCTAAGGTTAGAAATGGCATCATGACATTTTCCACTGACAAAAAACTATATATATATATTTTACATAGATAAAGCTCTTCGTAAAGTGTGGGCTATCCTTGTGAGAACAATTTTTTTGTATTTCTTTGAAACATGGGCTTCCAGATTATTATTATTATTATTATTATTATTATTATTATTATTATTATTTCCTTTGATTTCTGTTATATACTCATTTCCTTGGGGTCCCCAACCTGAGACCTAAGGTTAGAAATGGCACCATGACATTTTCTACCGAACATTTTTTTGAAAAAACAAAAAAACCTCACATTTTACATAAAATAAAGTGTGAGTTGTACTTATTAGTGCAATTCATCATCATCATCAACATCATCATCATCATCATCATCATTATTATTATTATTATTTTGGACGAAGCGAGACTGTCCAAGAGAGTGTTGTTTTGAAAGAGAAATCTCAAGGACGGACACAAAGTTGTACTATTAAGCACCCCCCGCTCCGTTGTAGCTGTTACATTAACTGAAGACGCAACTCGCTTTATTGTCTTGAAAAAGATCCATAGTATAAATGGTGTCCATACAAAGACATCGAAGACAAATTGAACAGACATTGTTAATCAAGGGCAGGAAGTCAAAGAAATGTGTCTTAATCGATATGGCTAACCACGTCCAAGGGAAACTATGCCAGCGAGAGAATTCTATGGCTCCCGAAATATAAGGTTCTTGAAACGGTGAGAGGAAAATTATCGATCCTGTTGACAATGATAGGTAATTATCATGATGCAAAACATGTGGGATCGAAGTTAATTATATTTATACAATGAAGATAGAGTCTGAAACGGGTGGAAAGCAGCCTGATAAGATTTTCTTTTATGTGCTGTGTCCTTTTCGGTTATTTAGGGTCATAGCTCTCCCCAACTTGCTTTTCTTACTCTATAATAATATAATGACTGGTTAATTTTTTGTCCGAGTGCACAAACCTGATAGACAGACTAACCAATCCCTCTGGAAGATGGTGGCTTTCCAAGAGCAAGTTAGATGTGGTACAAGGCCGAAAATAAGGGGTACCCAGTGATGATCGAACTCACTACTCAGTCGTAATTGTTCAAGCGAGACAAGTTTGTTAGCCATTACACCATGTCGAGTTGCCCCCCCCCCAATCCCGCCTCTTGCAGATATCTGCACAGATACATTTTTTATTCAACATCCACAGAAAGTTCCTGTGTTTATCATGCAACTATGCTTAGCGGAACTTATTTACAGTTTCTGGGGGAGAGCACATAATCTAGCATGAGATGGAAAAAAACCCTGCATGCTCAAAAGCCTCGGTCGCGTTGACTTGTGACTTGGTGTTAACATCGTTATCCCTACTTTCCGAACCCGTCCGTCTACCCAGATTTCAGGCACTTTTAAACGATGACATTTATAAGTCGACCCCGACAATTCGACGATTGTGAGATTCGAACCCGACTCTGATGGACTGAAATAGAACGTTAAGTGCGGTTTTGCCTGTTGCTTTTATAGCTTTCAATGTATCTTAGGAGTGTTAAATTATCCAGGTTTTCATTCCTCGTTATATGTCAAAAAACCCAGTTATCTCTATGTAATTAGCACTTATAACAGTGTCCCTTTTTCTAAAACCTTCCGACTTACAGTCATATCACGTTGAAACATCTGCTCTCGTACGATCATCGAAGTTAAGCAACGTCGAGCCTGCTAAGTACCTAGATGGGTACACGCTTGAGAATACTAGGTGTAAGCTTGGTTGTGTTGGCAGTGTAATGGATAACGGCTCGGAATTGTTAATAGAAGAACTGAGTTCTAATTCCAATCGGGTTTGTTATATTTATTTGCTAACTTTGGGAATGGTATGAATTCACCTCTTCTCCTTCAGATATGGGTTAATTAGTAAGAATTGTATTAGTAAATTATTATTATCTCCCCTAAAATTCTTACAATATAAAAAATGATTTCTGATAATGATAACCCGTAAAAAATCACCCCAGATCAATCAATCACCAGAAAACGATCTCGTTACACATATATTCGGCCAATTATATGACAACCCCATTATTATGGCTTCAAGTCATTTATTCGTCTGTGAAAATGTCTAATATTAATTACTATATAAAAAACCCGGACCGGATTTTTTTTTTCTAACGGTATTTTCTTTTTTTGTATACTTTACTTACATTCAGGAAGGCATCTTTCGTTATTCGTTTTCAACCTCGGATTCCTGTGTCAAATTTCCCATCGTCTCATCTGTTATTATGCTATTTTGATTTTGACGTCCCCGATATTTAAGAGGAAAATTGATATGTCTCTTTTGCTGATACCTAGGCTTTCTTTCATTTTTTTTTCTCAGAGTAAACAATCCTTTCTTCTTGCTAAGTCGCATCATAAAAATATTACAATGCTAAACTGAGCAAGATTCATTTGCTTAACTCTTCCTCCGATATATTTCACCCTATTGAGCTGAACTGCGAATGGTCAAGATAAGAGATGACAACGAATGCTAGAATCCTGTAAAATTTATGCAATTTCCATAGAAAGACAACAATTAATAATGATTAAGTACAGCTCATGTTAGTACATCGTATGTCCATTCTACTAAATCGTTTCTTGCAGATTGACTACAGATTCTCAATTGGATTTAAATCAGAAGAGTTTCCGGGCCAGTCTAGTACTTTGATTTGCTCACTGGTAAAGATTGTGTTCATGCAGCTTCCTTGTAGGACAACTAATCGACAGTTGAGACAACAATGAATATCTGATGCAGTTACAGATGACGCAATATTTTTCAAGGCCAAACAAATTTCATCATACAATCCGAAAATAGATTCATGTTACTGCACACCACTGCAAATGACCTAATCTGAGTCAAAAATAGAAATCGATTACACCCCGTCACTGCAATGGGTTTAAAACTGATCATATGGTGAAAGAAAGGAAACTAAAACGATTGTTTCAATTAATCTGCACAAGGGTGCAAGCTGCCCAATGTCGGAGCAGTTTCGTCTGTCATTGGCCATTATCAAAGAATTTTTTGTGCTATGCTTTTATTTGTTTATTATGTTTTAAATGGGGTGTACATATATGTGCCTGTGTATGTCTGTGTGTGCGGGTTTTGTGTGAGGCATATATGCCTGTATTATCTGGAAATACTTGAGCGTGTATTTCGTTTCTGCATGTTGCAGAAACGAAATACATGCTCAAGTATTTTTGTGGATATATTTGCGGATTGAATACAAATTCTCGATTGGATTTAAATCAGGAGAGCTTCGGGCCAGTCTATAGTACTTTGATTTGCTCACTGGTAAGGCTTGCAAGTGTGTTTGTGCAGGGTTACAATTTTCGTACGGAGGTCGATCCCAGCGTGCGTGCACCACCTGTGGAAAGTGCCTGAAACCATACTGCGGGTGAAATTGGGTAGACAGAACTCTCGAGGGCAGTCGATAGCTGTGCTAGCACAAAGCCGCAAGTGATCGTGGCCGAGTGCTTGAGCGTGGTGGCCTTCTTCATGTTAGATAATACGCTCTCTCCCAGAAACTGTAAGCAACGTATGCTCAGCATAGTTGCAGCATAAAGCACAGGCGTGGTGGGGGGACATAGTGGCTGTTGAGCAAACACAAATGTGCCTGAGCGAGCGTCTGATTGGCTAGCCCCCTAGGAGACGGGTATATTTGAATAAAAGTGCCCAGCCATTATATATACATATATATATATATATATATATATATATATATATATATATATGAATGATGAACGGGTTAACCAGCACGTACCCGTAGGAATGGTACGTTAAAATCTGGTGACAATATCAGGAACACATACGGCTCCGCCATTGCTGGTCACTTTATAAACAATCCAAGCTGTGCCATAAATTTCAGCATTGACTCATTTTCCATCCTTAGTCATGCTCATTTTTTGTTACACTTAAAGGTATTTGAAACGATCTATATCAGGTCCAGGCAGCCCTCCCTCTGTAAACAGAGGGAATGCCTGTTAGGGCTTGATATTTTTTCCATCTGATCGTTATACCTTTAATTTATCACATGCTTCTCATGTTTTTATATTTTATATTGCATATTGCAATATTTAGTATTCCCTCGATTTCAGGTCTGTTGAGTAAAGGCGAAACCCGTCGGCTGGTCAATTTTTTTCTTCCTATTTTCCTTTTATTTCATTTTAATTATGAATGATAAAGCACGTCTTGCCATTTTTATTTCCATAATAAAATTTTGTACCCCCAAGAAAATAATGAATATATATATATATATATATATATATATATATATATATATATATATAAAAGAGAGAGAGAGATATTAGGTTGGTGCAAAAATAATGACGTAAGAATGTCGTTTTTGACGTAAAAAAATACGTCAAAAAACGACATTATTACGTCATTATTTTTGCACCAACCTAATAGATAGATAGATAGATAGATAGATAGATAGATAGATAGATAGATAGATAGATAGATAGATTAATTAATCCATTGAGTGTGAAGTGCTTCGTTTAAAACAGGAGAAAGGATGAGTTTCCGTTAAAACTTGTTTTTGAATGTCTTCTGAAGTCGAATAAGTCGGGTTGAAAGATGCAAGGGAAATGTATAATAACCAGAAACTTTTGACTGGATTTGGTCATTTTCACGGAATGAAGGCAGAGGTTTATGATTTTAAAGATCTGGAAATTTAATCAAACGTGTTGCTCACTTGCTATGGCGGTGGAATATATTATGACGTCACTTCGTATAAAATAACATTACGGTTCAAAAGCATTTTCGCTCGTAACCGCCAAGATTTTAATACATTTTATTGATAATAGCTTGGCATTGTTTGATCTAAAAGGTCACCAAAAATGTGAATCCTTTTGTCGCGGTTGGATTGGCCGAATACCTTTGTCGACTGAACGAGTGCGGTTCAGTAACCCGTAGATAGGCAGTGTTCTTCAATGTTTTTTGATCTGGAATTTTCACAGTATATTTGTCTGATCTTTATTATATATATTCACCATTGGATTGATTGGGGAGGTTTTATGTTGAAAAAAAATCAATCGATGTGTCTTTGATGTACCTACGCTTATAACAAATTATCCGTCTGTACCACTTTATATGTAAGTATCTATTTGGCTGTGTTTACGCACACACAAACACACAAACACACACAAACACACACACAAACACACACACACAAGCACACACAAAAACACACACAAACACAAACACACACACACACAAACACAAACAAACAAACACACACACAAACACACACACACACAAATACACACACACACACACACACATATATATATATATATATATATATATGTAGTTTTAAGATATGCTATATTTATGGATTAAAGTGCTCACTATCAGAGATAAATCGGATGTGAATTTGAATAAAAGTGGACACACACACACATATATATATGTGTGTGTGTGTGTGTGTCTGCGCGTGTGTGTGTGTGTGTATTAATGTCATAAGAAAGAATAGTTAGATTAATGACCCAAAGGTCTTTAGTATTTATGTTTTTAATTTTAAAAATCATTACTCGATACAGAAGTCGAGCTCGAAATCATAATCATTTGATTGGTTAGTTATTCTAAACATCGCTTGAGAATGAAACTGTGCTCAAAATTTTAAGTTTAATTGTGAAAGTAAACTTTAGGACTTCTGTTTCAGTTTCGAAACTATTGAAAGTATTATATAGAAAAAATGAATTGCCTCCCTTTGTAGGGTTTCGTTATCACCGGCCCCTGTGCTGGGCTGAAGCAACCTATCGCGGCCTCTTTTTTCCTGTGCCACCGACGAGTCAACACGGACAAATTTAGCTCCGTAAAACTCCGTAAAGCTGCCACATGGTGTCCGAAAATTGAGCAGCCAAGAATACAATATCGGAAGAAGAATGTCCCAACAGTTGCAGCAAAGCACCCGAAAGCTAAATCCTTCTTCAACCTGAAAACGAATATATTCGGAGGTTGCAATAAAAATGAGAACAGGTAACCGAACGAACTTTATTGCCACCAGTTAAGTCCTCGCAAAAATCAGTTTTTTGCAACGATTTTTAAACCCAATTTTTCTATCTTCCCTTTTCTTTCTTCCTCTTTCTGATATAAAACCTTTCTTTTTTCCACTCAAGTTTGGTATTTTCTCTCGCCGTGTCGCGTCAATTTTCTTTTTACCCTTATTTTCTACAAGGGGCAAATTACTGGTCACAGAAATTCAAAGGGTATAAAACCCCTCATAAAACATAGTAATTTCTGTGTCAGGATGGAATCATTTTTTTTTTATAATTATATATATATATATTTATATATAATTATTTAAAATAAAGAAATAATTATATTCATGCTCTACTTTTGTATCGAGGACTATTTTTTAAAAATAATAACAAAAATACTAAAGAACTTTGGATTATTTACATAACGAGTTCTTTCCTATTTTCTATATATTTTCACACACACACACACACACACACACACACACACACACATATATATATATATATATATATATATATATATATATATATATATATATATATAGATACACCTAGTGGGGCCAGACAAACCTACCTAGGTTTCACTTTCCCTGACGATCCGTTTAGTTGAAACCTAGGTAGGTTTGTCTGGCTCACTAGGTGTATCTAGGTCTGCTCTACGGTTGTATTGAGCTCTTTTTGTTAGTTAGTTGTTACTCGTATCGGGTTTTTTTTTTGGGCTTCAGACCTGCATCTGTGCGATTTTTTGTCGGCAGAAGTTCATGTTTGTAGCTCTTTCTTTTTTTAAACCTTTTTTTTTCCTCGAGATTGATTTGATTAGCAAATCAAAATTCGAGGGTTTTTCGAAAACAGAGTCTAGTTATCTACCTATCTCTATCTATCTATATATATATATATATATATATATATATATATATATATATATATACTTTCAACGTTATATTAGTAAATAAAAGTGTCTGAGCTTGTGACTGATGTCTATGCGCCTTTCTTTCGACGGTCTTTAATAAAGCCAGTTTACTCTCCGGAAAGGCATCAGCCTTATATAATTATTACAGAGTATCGAATACCCAAGCCGGCAGACATCAATTACATTGTTTAAAACAGAACTATCTCCCACAATACATGCGATATAACAATAATATAAGGTTTATATCAAAATTATAAGGTTTATAATAATAATAAGCAATGTCGGATTATAAATAAATAAAAAATAACCTTTAATAAATTAAAAGTTCTATTGTTAAAATATCTTTATAGCGCAAACAAATGAATAAAGTGTAATGGATAAAAAAAATTTGTAAAGAAGCGACAGGTATTTTATCAGAAATAACTCTGCTCTCCATGGGTAAATAAATCAATTAAAATAAGTGACTTTAACTATTGGAATTATAATATTCTTCTTGGCTGTCATACACGAAACGTTTGGATATGTTATCCTCCATCTTTGCTTAGGTATATGTTGCCGTAAATTTAGGTATAAGCTGCTGTTTATTTAGGTATATGCTGCCTTCTTAAACTTTGGATCGGATTAAATATTTAAAAATAAACGAAGTACAAATGTTGATAGATTGTGAATATAAAAACCAAAATGAGGATGCTGGTCCAAACCATAAGTTATTTATTAAAGATAATTGCCCATCTCTAAGTTTCATAAAATAAAATAAAAATTATGGCTTTACTAATAAAAATACATATTTTAATTTCAATAGCAAAAGAACATATATATATATATATATATATATATATATATATATATATATATATATATATATATACACAATATGATATATATAATGAAGACTTTTCGTTTAAACGAATTGAGTTTTCTCAGTCACTCTGTGTATATATAAAAATAAATACGATTAAATTCACCTTCATCCCTACCGTGAACCAACTGCTTAGGGGTAGAATTTCTGACTGACGCCAATGCAGCAAGGTTTCGATCCAAGCTAGAGACAATCGGACGTCTAGCCACACTGATGAGCTAATGATACAGCGAAACTGTCTCTCTGTGGATGAATATATATATATATATATATATATATATATATATATATATATATATATATATATATGTGTGTGTGTGTGTGTGTGTGTGCGTGCGTGTGTGTGTGTGTGTGTGATTAGAAGAAAGAGTCCACGTGTGATTCATATAGTTTATAAAATAGAGTAGATCAATAAAACAAAGTCAAAAGAAAGAGTACCGACGTAATCAGTACGAAAAACATTTTTTTAAATATTAACCACGTCACAAACACGAAGCATGGAGACTGAGGTTCCAAGTTCGGAATTTTCGAACACGCCTGTGTTCTTCATCAGCGTATGCGAAATAATCTGAGGGACGGTGGAGACTGTTCTGCATTTGTTCTTAAGGCTAGGTAGACGGAACAGATTTTTTCTAACAATTCCACCTAAAATCAGGACCCCTTCATTTGACTTTGTTTTATTAACCCACTTATCTACTCTTTTTTCATGCAACTTTTTTATTTCTTAATTTATTATTATTATTATTATTATTAGTTTTGTTATATATATATGTATATATATATATGCTGCTACAAATATTTAAGAACTTTATTGCTATATTCATAGTTGACTTTGTTTATTGTTTTGTTTTAATTCTCTTACATAAAGGCTTCTAGGATTTTAAGTATTTGCTTATTATTTATCTATATTAATATAGATGTATCTCCAACTAATATCTGTCTAAACTGTGAATGTAGACTTGAGTGTACCTTTAAATGTTGTAAGATTGAACTATGCTCATCGAAGTGTAATGTAAACATTCTCGTCAGCATCGTCGTTGTAAAACCAGCATACGTATTAACATATTTTTTATCAGAGATGTAATCTAAAAGAGATCTAAATTGATATACAGTGTCGGCCTTTTGTAAGATGCTAGTTAACGGAGAAGAATTTTTTTTGACAACTAGATTGGTTTTATTAAATTAAGTAGAGTAACAATCGACCTCACTTTTTGACTTGGATCATTAGTTGCATTTTTTTTTCATTTTTTTTCTTCCTAGTTATATTTAGAATGTATTTGATTACGGTACAGTAATTTGATATGTTTAGAGTTATTTGATGATGTATTCGTATTTATTTTTATTCCTAATAGCTCGTCTAATTTGTTCATCAACGATGTAATTAGGAAAGTCTTTATTAATGAGAGTCTGTTTATTTTTTTTTTTAAATTCAGAATAGAAAATCGTTTTTTTTTTTTTTTTAATAATTTATTAAGTTTCGTATAATAGGTATTTTGTAATAATTTGAAAAATCACTTTTATAGCTAAGAGTGTACATGTTTATGTTAGTTGGTGTTTTATATGAAGAGGTAGTAAATGCATTATTATTTTTACTGTCTGTCAGTACATCAAGAAACGGGATTTTTTTGTCCTTGTTTAATTCATGCATGAAGTTTTTTTTAATTCATGTATTTCATTTCTGTTTTTGATTAAATGATAATGACATCTACATATCTTAGTTAATATCGAGGTTTTTTAATTATGATTATTTTTAATCCTCCTAATTATTTCCATATGTATATCCTTGCTTGAACCGGCTTCTAATTCTCTGGACTGAGAGGCTTGGAGATAGTAGTGGAGGGACAGTCATATGGGTAAAGAGAAACTTGGATGGTTTCCATCACGGAATATGTGATCGAGCGGCGCTATATAGAGTTAACATTTCGTCGCCGAGGCCCGTTGGTACAGTTGGTATGACGTTTGTCTTCTATCCTAACTGTTCGGGTTTTCAATTCTCGGTAGTGGATGCGCACTGCTGATGAGACCCATTTCTGCATTCTGTTGAGGTTTTTTTTCTAGACTCGGTGAATTACTTAATTATTATATATATAAAAATATATATGTATATATATATATGTATCATAATTAAGTAATTCATCATCTAGAATCTAAAGTATATATATATATATATATATATATATATATATATATATATATATATATATAACCGTATAGTATATTGAAACCTACATAGGTTAAAGCCTACTCGTTACGTTTATATTTAGGTTTGGTCTACTTAGTGTATTGAGCATTTTACGTAGTTACTTTTGCTTTACTCATTTGAGGGTTTTATTCTTTGGATTCTGGACGATTGCTTGCGTCTAAATTTAATAGTCTTAGTTCTTTCTAATATATATATATATATATATATATATATATATATATATATATATATGAAGTCATCTTTATGTTTATACATACAAATATTTAAGTAAATGCTCCGTTATTAAAAATTTACTGGCCTGAATGTCCAAGAAATTTTCATAGAAAATATTGGTCCTCCGACAGGAATCAAACCTGTATCCTATACGGAACAGTCATATAGCCTGACGTGCCTTAACCGTTTAGGCCACAGAGGAGCGTTCGGTTAGCAAAGTTGATTTTACTGTCATTACACTACAATCTTCCATGATTCTCTCATGTATTATTATGTCTTAAAATAATTGTAGGATTCTGTCCATTTCATAATATATATATATATAGTGTTTGTAAGTGTGCTGTTACGTGAATGCGTATCGAGTGTCTGAAGACATAGACACGCGGTAGTGGGAGGGTAATTGCAATTGATTGATTGATTTGTTTCCGTTGCGGTTTATAAACCTTGGTGAATTTAAAAACCGAAACATATTTTCGATTGAAGGAATAATTCTTTATTTGTTTTTTTTTTGGTTTTTTTTTTTGGAGAAAACCATTTTCCCAGAAACTACTATTTAATCCATAAGTGGAGGTGGTGATATACTCATACCTTTAATTTAATGACGATATCAGGTACAACGAAGAAAGGATTACATATATGTCATGTTTGTGTGCATGTATTATTATTATTATTCTCGTATTAGTCTTATAATTCACCTGTACAGGCGTTGACTTTCAAAAGATATGTCGCTAAATATTCACAATTGTATGTATTCCGTACTAAAGCTGCTACACTATATATTATATTTTTATTGCCATATAGCATCAAAATTCTGCAGATATAGTGTATCAATATTTAGGACACTACATTTTAAATATTGCGTATAACGTCTGGGCCGTAATATTATGCAAGCAACGTAGACTACCAATAATATATAAGTTTTTATAATCTCAACACATTGTACACAGGTTTATAGAAACAACATTATACGTATATTCGATCTCATAATCTCCATATAAAGTATATGTACATACTACTATTTCAGAGAGAATAATAGCTTTGCCGTATCTGATTATGCCAAAGTTATACCATTTTCGGGTTTGGAATATACGTGGGAAAAGATGCGAGTGTGTCGCTCAATGTCGGGAAAATGAAAATGGTATAAAAAAAGGATCGTCTGTACACGTTGCCAAGCAACGGGTAACAATTCGAAGAGACAGCTACTAATTGCTAGAACGGACGAATTTGCTCGGTCTTTTCTTATTTGGACAAAGGAGGAGGAGTAGCTGTAAGAGGAGGTGTATGAGAAGCAGTAGCTGTAGGAGGAGCAGCAGCTGTAGGAAGAGGTGTAGAAGGAGCAGTAAGAGGAGAGTGGATGTACTTATGAGGGTAAGAGGAAGAGCCGGGCGAGAAACAGAATGGGAGGAGGAGAGGATTGAAGAGCGAGGAGGGAAAAGGAAAAACAATTGCTTACAACAGTGGGAGTACATAAAGAGAGGATGTCGTAAGAACGAGATCGAAAAGAAGAAAATAAAAACGGAGAAGATGGGGAGGAAGAGAGAAAAAAGAAAGAGAAAGAGAGAGAAAGCGAGCGAAGAAAGAGAGAGAAGAGAGAAAGTAAGAGAGCGAAAAAGAGAGAAGAGAGAGTGAGTGAGAGAGAAAAAGAAAGAGAGTGCGAGAAAGAAAGAAAGAAAGAAAGAAAGAAAGAAAGAGAGATATATATATATATATATATATATATATATATATAAGAGAGAGAGAGAGAGAGAGAGAGAGAGAGAGAGAGAGAGAGCAGTAAGTAAGGGGAAATTGTCTGTGTCGTTGAAACCAAACGAGCAGTACAGAAAAAAGAATAGCTTTTCTTCTATATGCCGTATCCCTTCAGGACGTTTGCGATCATGGCTCGCCACAACTTCCTGTCACTTGTAGCTCTTAGCAATATTTATCTGTTTATTATATCGTGTAATCAATGTTATGCCAACCATTTAAACAAGTTCGTTAGGTAGTTTATTCTCTGCTTGCCTTTGTCCCTCTTGACTTCAACATCTCCTTGTGAGTGTTAAATTTTCCAAGCCATCTTTCTTCATTATATGTACCCTAGAAAATTCAGTTGTCTCTTTCTGATTCTAAGTATAAATATCCATTATGTTTCCATTTTCCATGAATTTTCGTCGTTGTTTTTTCAGTCCACAGTACTCTCAGTATTCTTCTGAAGGAACCTTATTTCTGTTGACTCAAGTCTCTTCTTCGTCTCTGCTCAAATTCTACAGCATTCACTGCAATTTAGGACCGATATTACATAACAATTCTATAGATTTTCTAACGAAATTTTCCAGTCTCTTGACACTTTGATTATCTTTCCGAAGCCATCTTTTTTAGACGTATTATGTCTGTTTATTTTAGTTTTAAACTTTTTAAGTCTACGAATTAATTTCTTGGAAGCCGTAGAAAATTGATACCGAAGGAATTCTAGCTTCCCTTGGAAAACTTATTTCGTGTCTGTTTTTATTATTATTATTATTATTATTTGTTTGTTTGCTTTTATGTTTTTTTTTTTGTTTTTGTTTTTTTTTTTGTTTTTTGTAAAATTCAAAGCTGCTGACACTGATTGCCTCGTTTTGATAACTCAGGTTCTCACAGTTTGTGGGATTGCAATGGAAGCTGAGTATTTTGTGGGACCACTGTAAAAATTCAGAGCCCGACATTTTCTTACTTTGGAGCAGTGTCTTTTTAATTGATCTTTTTCCTCGCCACCGTTTTCTTAACTCTATTTTCTTTCCTCGTCAGTAACATCTCTCTTCAATCTTAGCGGATTTATCGCCTTGCTTGTAGTGCAAAGATTAAATGAAACAGCCTATAGTCACCTACTTTAAGGAGCCATTAACTTCAAACACTCTCTTGATTGTCTTCTAGGTCTGCGGTCACCAAACTTTTGAACTTCATGGACCACTAAATGTATAATTTTAAATTCGGCGGACCACTAATATAAATTGAGAAAAAAAAGGTAAATATATTTGTATAATAATAAACAGAAAACATTTATTTTTTTTTAATATGAAATGCATCCATTAAATGTAACAAAGTTATATCGTAATTACTTAAATGAAACAAATTTAAAAGTTTAATAAAAATTAAAATAATGTCCCAATTTTTCTGGGGACCATCAAACATTTTGCACGGACAACCAGTGGTCTGTGGACCCCCGGTTGTCGACCACTGGTCTATATCGTGGGCGCTTTTAGAATTTTAAGGTAGGATATTTTGAAGTTGAGGAAACTTCTAAAAATCGATTTTAACACTTTCTTTATTCATGCAGCCTATCGAGTGCATTAACATGATATATGACTATCTAGCTCAAGCAATGAAAAGATACGCTTCCCTTGTGATATTAGTATCCAAGAATATTGGCTAACCAGTTTCTTGATTGTGACCACTTCAAAGGAATGAACGACAAACTGCTCTACACATACGAAACGGATGAACCCTCATTGACGGCCATTCGTTTACGTTGTCGTTAATGTTTCATATGGTTGTGATCAATAGAGGTCTTGACATGCCACCCGATACGCAATGTATCTGGGTTAATGACACTGCTTAGGATTACAACACGAATATAATTTTTCTGTATTGAGGAAATGTCGAAAATTAATTATTAAATTAAATTATAAAATACATAATTATATAATTAATTATCGTTACTTTTTATTTATAAAATGTTTTCTAGATAGAATAATCCTAGCTCTAGAAAATGATACAAAAAGTTTACTGAAATTGATCCGTACAGGGAGAAGATGTTGGCACTAAAGTAAGTCCTCCCCCAATAAACTAGCGTTCATCTTGTATTCAAAATGGCGGAAAATTGACCATTAACCCAGATATGACACATACATCGTGAGATCTTTTAGAATTTTAAGGTAGGATAATTTTGAAATTGGGCAAACTTCTAAAAATCGATTTTAACATTCTCCTATTTCTTGCAGACGTATCGAGTGCATTAACATGACATATGCCAATCTAACTCAAACAAATAAACGGCACGCAGTCCTTATGACATTAGTAGCCAGTAACGTTGGCTTTTAGTTAACGGGTTTCTTGAATGTGACCACTTCAAAGGAATGACTGACGAACTGCTCTGCACATACGAAACGGATGAACCGGCATTGACGGCCACTGGATTTACGTCAGCTTTGATGTTTCTTAGAGTTGTGATCAATGGAGGTCTTGACCCGACTTCATTACGTAATGTATCTGGATTAATGATACCGCCTAAGATTAAACAACGATAATAATTCACACTCCTTCCCGTTCTTTTTGAAGAGGAATAAAGATTATATTCCTTCTTTCCCGTTTAGGATTGCATTATCAGTTTATTTTAAAGTTGTTTTTTTTTTGTTTTTTTTTTCATTACCTTTCACTTCAAGTAGCCCGTTGAATCTTAGTGACATTGTTGCCTTGCTTGGGGTGAATTCGTTAAATAAAAAAATATTTTTCAACCAATACAACGGTGCAAAGCCACTAGAAGGCAATGATTTAATGAAAAAGATTCTTGTAACAGTGTAAAGAGAGGAAATCCGAAATGAAAAATATAAAAGATGTGTTGGATAGACAACGGTTGACTCTAGTCATGAAGATGTTAAGATTGTAGTAGCAAGGGAAGAATACGTTCGAGAATTTGTCCTGCAGAGTAACAGCTCCGTGGGAGAAGAAATATGAGTGAATTGTAAGTAATAATTAATAGCTCCGAGGAAGGAGAAATCTGTGGACCATCAAAAAATTTGCACGGACCACTAGTGGTCCGTGGAACCACCGTTGGCGACCACTGGCCTATATCGTGAGAGCTTTTAGAGTTTTAAGTTAAGATATTTTGAAATTGGGCAAGCTTCTAAAAATCGATTTTAACATTCTCCTTTTTTTTTTCAGATGTATTTAGTGCATTAACATGACTTATGCCTATCTAGCTCAAGCAATGAAAAAGCCAGGAAGATTGGCTTTTAGTTAACGAGTTTCTTGAATGTGATCACTTCAAAGGAATGGCCGTCAAACTGCTCTGCACACAAAAAACGGATAAACCCACATTGATGGCCACTGGATATACGTCGTGTTTAATGTTTCTTAGGGTTGTGATCAACGGAGGTTTTGAGATGTCATCCGACTTCCTTACGCAATGTATCTGAGTTTATGACACTTCCTAGCATTGCACCACGAAAATATTTTTTTTTCTGTATTGAGGAAATTTCGAAAATTCTGTGAACGAAATAAATAGCTGAGTTTGAAGCCATGTAGAAATTTATCTTGAAATTTGAAATGGAAGAAAAAAGAAGTCGATTGTATTGTATTTGTAAGCGTTGTGCATGAATTCGTGTATCTCCTGAAATAGGACCCACTACAAATATGGCAGGCTCAAGATGAGTCCACCGAAAAGAAATGTAAAAGAAAATGTGAAGAAAACAATGAAGGCCGGTATATATATATATATATATATATATATATATATATATATATATGTGTGTGTGTGTGTGTGTGTGTGTGTGTGTGTATATATATGTGTGTGTGTGTCTGTGTGTGTGTGTGTGTGTATTTAAATATTTGTATCCATAAAAACAATGTATAAATATAAAATGTCTTAAAATAATTGTCGGACTTTGTCCATTTCATAATGTGTGACGTCATTTGTTTACATTTGATACGCCATGAGCAGATATGAATGTACGTGAGAGATTCATAGAAGATTGAAGTTTAAATACAGTAAATTCGACCTTGCTAACCGAACGCGCCTCTGTGGCCAAATCGGTAAACGCACGTCAAGCTAAATGACAGTTCCGTATAGGATAAAGGTTCGAATCCTGTGAGGACGAATATTTTCTGTGAAAATTTCTCGGACATTCAGGCCGGTAAATTTTGTTTAATACTGTTTATTATAAACAGATCATTTACTTAAATATTTGTATCTATAAAAAAAGAATGTATAAACATCATAAAATATATATATATATATATATATATATATATATATATATATATATATATATATATATATATATATATATGTAAAATGTGTCTATATATATATGTGTGTGTAGGATAGAAAACGGTTGACTTTAGCCTTGAAGATGTTAAGATTGTAGTAGCTAGGAAAGGATCCTTTCGAGAATCTCTCCTGCAAAGTAATATTTCCGAGGAAGGAGAAATCTGAGTGAATACAAAGAGAATAAGGATAATTTAACTCCCCTGGGGATATAATAGTTAAATTAAGTACATATCAGCGGTTGCCAAACTTTTTAACTTAATGGACCACTAAATGTATAATTTTAAATTTGGCGGACGGCTAACATAAATTTAGAAAAAAAGGTCAATACATTTATATAATAATAATAATAATCGGAAAACTTTTATTTTATTAATATGAAATGCACTCATTAAAGATAACAAATTATAGTGTAATTATTTAAATAAAACAAACTGAAAATTTGAAATTTGCAAGTCATGTTAGGTTATACTATTGCTTGATGATGTCACATCTGTGTACTTGTGTATTCGTTATTTTTTAAGATTACATAAGGTCTTAAACATATATACTCTCCATAATACTTGTTTTGTTATTCGTCATTTTTTAATCTGAAGCTTCAAAAAATTGAAATAATGTTCCAGTTATTCTCCGGACCATCAAAACTTATACACGGACGACCAGTGGTCTGTGGAAGACCGGTTGGCACCACATTTCTTGGCATATTTTCTTCGCTTCATTCATTATACGGATGATAAGGATGGACAACAATTTTTAATTTAATCCAAGTCAAGGGCCTAACCGTTTCACAATTCTTATTTTCAATACAATTGTTTGATTGCACTGGCAATGTCTTTAAAGTGTCTGTCTTTATGAAACGCTCAATTGCATTTAATTTTCAATGCCTTTACTGATATTTTTTTTAAATTAGAATCACCCATCAAGACAGCAAAACCAGTAAGGAACAAGGGCTTACATGTTTGTGGAAGAATTAGGAAAGAAACATTAATTAACGTGAAGAGGAAAGTGTAATCAGGAGGACAATATATAGTGATTGACATTACATTTAAATGTTTGACTGTAAAGTATGGAGCCAGAAGGGAGTTCCACAAGCGAGACGCGCGAGAAAATGAACTTTTAGCATAGAATTTACGGATACATCTAGCCAACACAACTGTAAATTGAGAAAACAGTCTCGTATTGCGCTTAAATTCAAAACGTCTAGGTACCATAGCAAAGAGCGACTTTTCTTTTGGAAAAATACAAAAATGGGACATAAGGCTAAAATGGGGAAAAAAGATTGGTTTTCTTCTGTTTTATAATAAAACTTAGCTATCCACAATCACTGACCCAATAATGCAACAATATTCCTTACACCAAAACATCGCATTCTTAATTACCATTCTTACAACATCCACCATAATGCCTCAGAATCTCCATGAAGTCTTAACTAGTCCCATTCTTGTTTGTGGCGAGAAGGGATATAAGACAACACCGAAGAGCGATATTTATTCCCACTTATTCGCAGAAAATGTGGCACAAGGCCAAAAATGGGGAATGGGGGAATAGACGGTCTTCTTCCGTCTTAACATTAAACTTAGCTAGCCACAAACACTGACCCAAACATACCATAATGTTTCTAACACCAAAACAACACATTCTTACTTACCTTTCTTACTACAACCACCATGATACCGGAATGTCTCTATGAAAATCCTAACTAGTCTCCAGGTGTACAATTCGTTGTCTGTGGCGGGGAGGGGAATAAAATGACAATTTAAAAATCTAAACCCCAGTGGATATTTACAAAAATGAACAACAACGAAGAGCTCATCCGAACAATTACCATGAAGGTATTTATAGAAAAGACACAGGGAGGCAACCTTTTGGCGGTGAGAAAGTGAATGAAGCCGAGCCGCCAGATCAGGACCAATAGACGGAGATTCTTGTTTAGTATTAAATAAAACCTTTTGACCCAACGCCAGATAACCTTCTCTGCATAAACAATAATTCTGATACACTACAAGAGTGTTTTCTAACCTTTTCTCAACCAGCGCCTCCCTCGGGGCACAAACGTTTCGTCAACACCCCCCCCCCATCTGTTCAATTAAATTTCAAATATTATAGTAAGAGAAAACTTAGGTATTGGTGCCAAAATAATTTTAATATTGTTTTAATTTCTATTATAAATGCCAATGATTAAATTTATAAATAAAAACCAACATTTATTTGATTGTTTATCTCAATGTTTCCACTGCGAAGGTTGACTCTGGTGTTTACTAGCTAAGGCTCTTACACTAGTTTCCATGCTTCTTAGAAGTAATCGTAGACCTCCTCGTTTTGTTATTTGCAGCGGGTTTCTTTGCTTAGTTAAAAGGTGTGTAACTGCCTTGAAACTACATTCAGCCATATATGAAGTTGGAAAAGCAATGAGGAAAAGTGTGATAGCTTCCCACGGCTTTTGATACCTTTCAGAAACTTCCTTTTGTAGCCAATATTAAATCATTTTTTACAAAAAAAAGGTATAAATGCCCTTCGCCCCCTGAGTATGTTCACCGCCCCACAAATGAAATAAAAACTCCCAGAACTTCCTTTTAAAATAACAAAGCCGACAAGGGGAACTAGTGCCCATGTTGGGAAACACTTCTCTACCAACCAGGTTAATGAAGTGTCTTACTGAGTCTGATGTATAACTGCGGACCATGATTCCTGAATATTTTCTTCGATATCTTTGTGTGTATTTGCCATTCTGTAGAATACTGATTACAGCCAGACTGGAAATCTTTTGAGAGGCACCAAATGATTTTCGAAATATCAAAATAATGATGCATCGATCAAGTTCGATTCTTTTTTTTATTGATGTCTTTAATCTATAGCTTTCGTTTCTGTAGTCTGTAGGATTTTCCTTAGTTTTCCTAATTATATTTCTTATTGAACCTATAATGGTCTACTGACGAATTTCACATTTACTATCTGTCTATATTTCTGAGATGAGGTATTATATACATTATTTACATTATTCGGACTATTGTCCTCATCTTTGTCGCCATATTTATTACAACATTTCGGCCTCTGTACGCTCCGGCCTTCTTCAGGCGGTTGGAATGTTGAACTGAACACTTTATTTCGCTCACTGGGGTAGACTGTCAGTTGCCAGTTATCTCCTGTTGTTAATTCCCCTCTCCATGTTCTCCACTGGCTTAACAAGGATACACGGCACAGTGGATAAAGGCATTAGTTAGATCCAGTGACAGGACCCAAACTGTGTGAGTTCAATACCCGGTTTCATGCTTGACGCACTAGTCAGGCCGCCGGTTTTTGACTTCGCTACTGGGATTGCTTGACAATTGGGTCCAGCATGAAACAGCCTGTCGCCTCTGAGTGTTGACTTCAATGTCCTTATATATATGTGTGTGTGTGTGTATATATATATATATATATATATATATATATATATATTATTAATTGATTTAAAATATTTTTATTTTATATATATATATATATATATATATATATGTATGTATTCTTTCGCACTCGCTAAGTTTCTGCGTCGTAGTGGTTTTGTTGCCTTTCATGGGATAAAATGATTAAAAAATATTTAGCCTTAAAAAGTTACTTTACTTGATTCTGACTATTTGGAGTGCACGTTCATATCATTTTTTTCCTGCCGTTTAATGGTTAAATAAATTTGAAATAATAATAAAATTGTTATGACCTGTTCAAGAAAGGAAGCGGTTTTTGACTTCGCTTCTGGGATTGCTGCAGCTGCCACGCATAAATAATCAAGTCGTGTGCATATTTTTCCTTCGCTATGATGTACCGAAGATGGGTAAACAATTCTTCAAGAAAACTGACGTTGACAGTATAAACGGCGAGTTGCCCAGAAAAACTAAAATGGATGCCAAAGTATGTGTATGTCATCTTGAAAGCCGATAGATCGAGTAATTGGCTCGACGCGAATCAATGATTAATTAAAGTGTATTGACCAAAGGATCCAAGAGTCGAACAAACCGAACTGGACGAAAAAAAAAAACAACAAAAAAAAAACAAACTAATAAATTTATATTTCAAATCTGCAAAATATTTTCGTTTTGGGATGGACTCAAAAAAATAACAGCGAAGCTCCGGTAGCAAGGAAAATAATGGGTTTGATTAATTTATAATAAACGCTAGGTATAAATTAGAGTTGATTTATTCAAATTTAATATATCTTTTTAAAAATAAATTTATTCTTTCTACCTTTCTTTCATTCTTATATCTGCTTCTCCTTCATTTCATTCCTTCCTCTTCCTTCTTCTTCTTCTTCTTCTTCTTCTTCTTCTTCTTCTTCTTCTTTCTCTTCCTTCTACTTATTTTCTTACCACTCCTTCACTTTCTTCGTCGTCTTCTTTTTGCTCTCCTCCTCCTACTACTTCTCTTTCTTCTCGTCCATCTCCTCCTCGTCTTTCTTTTCACTCTCTCTACATTCTACTCCTTCTTCTGTCCTACTTCTTCCTGCTCTCCCTCCTTCTACTCCATCTTTTTTTTTATAATTATTTAGATTTTCATCTTACTTTTTTCACTCTCTGTTTTATTTCATCGCCATCTTTTCTTCATTTCTCACACTGGTGTCAATATTTCTTTTATTGCTTCTGTGCTTGTTACTTCCTTTCTCTCATTCCCCCCCTCTCTCTCTCCCTCTCTTTCCCTCTTCCCCCCCTCTCTCTCTCTCTTTGCTTCCCTCCTCTAATTCTTCTCGTATTTATTTTTTCTTCCACGCTCTTACTTTTTTTTTCATTTCTTTTGACACATTTCTCTTTCTTTCTTTCTTTCTTTCTTTCTTTTTTTTTTGCTCAGGTTTCATTTTTTCTCTTTCCTTTTCCTTTTGATTTTAAACCCTGTGACATTTCAAACACACACACACACACACGCACACACAGAGAAAGAGAGAGAGAGTGAGAGAGAGAAAGAGAGACATCTTAGACCTGCGTTGATAATAATTATGAAGTCTTTTGCAGTGACATAATATGGAAAAACTCATAACAGCGACCTGAAGCGCAGTCTGCCATGATGTAACTGAACAGTATACTTCAAGTGCTGAATTCAAATTCAAAAATGCTAAATCCGCCATCTTGTTCATAGCATAACTAGGAGGAGACTAGATGGATTCATACCATTCCAAGGATGTAATTTGTGCAAAATTGCGTGTCTCGAGCCTCTAACGATTATAATATCTCCACACACACACACACACACACACACACACACACACAGAGGGTAAGATGGACAAATTGTCGCCATTTTATATTTCTTAATTTCGCGCATGCGCGTTGTTTGCTTTTGATTTTGTCGACTCCACAACACAATAGCTTTACTTGGAATCCGTCTGTGAGAAAAAGAGCAGCACGACGCAATACAGAAATTTATAAACGGCATGTTGTACTGCTTGACATTCGCGTCGGAAACCCCACTACGAAGATTTCAGAGTGTTTGGATGTCAATCTGAGGAGAGTACAGAGGATTCGGAAAGAATTGGATGAGTCTAATAGTGATTACGAAGGTGTTTGGAGTGATTACTAGTGATGGGGACGTTATGCCTATATTCATCTTCCCACTGGTCATCAGACTCAACACGGAGGCCTGCGTCAATTACTTTGAGGGGGTAGTGCTACCCTTATTCAAGAGGATGGCGGCTGGAAGATCCTATGTCTGGCAACAGGACTCTACAACATGCCACATAAACAG